GCTAGAGACTCTGAGACGGTCCTGGCCAAAGGTTAAGAGTGAGGGTCCTGAGTGGTTCTGCCACTTCCCACTGTGCATTCTTAGGCAAATTACCTGACCCGTCCAAACTTCACTTTCTTCATCGGCAAAAATGAGACACTAAATGAGATGGTGTATGTAAATCCTTAGCATAGTGACACCATGGCGCTCGATAAATGGCACTTATTTATAATACATGGTACTTTCATTTTTGAGTCTTGAATAATTCTATTTTATGATCTCTATTTTAATATTTTCATTCATTTTATTATTTTCTTTAAAGTTCAGATGCTTGTCAATGTGAGTCGGGCTATTCCGCATTGCACGGATGGATAAGTCTGATGAACAAAGCAGTGAAATTTTTTTTATCCCAGATCACATAGCCATCTAACGGTTAAATATCTTTGCCACACCCGAACTCTTTCCACTGCTTATTCTCAGCCTCTTCACCTGGAGGGTGGGTGAGTCCCGTGAGGCTACTAAATCCTAGCGCACCTTGAGGCCACCAGCAAAACTGAAAACTGCCTACCCTTCCTTTCCCCCATCCCGCCTACCTCCTGAGTCAGCCTTTCCCCCTCCTCCTTTCTCCCGTTCATCGCAGCCACCTTCCGCAGGTTCCGCACAGCTAGCTGGGACTTGCCGTGAAGGAGGAGCCATCGGGATGACTCCGGCAGCCACCTGGGACCAAGAGAAGAATGCACCAGGGCCGAGTGCAGAGCACTCCATTCCCAAGCCCAAGTGGCCTTCGTTCACCTTCTTCCAGACCCTGACAAAGATGAGTGTCCTGCTCTCTGCAGGGCACGCCGGCTTCTCTGAGGGTACTTAGAGACTGCATGGGACTTGGGACTTCCACGGGTCTGGTTTGGGAGCTAGTTCTGCCCCTGATGTGTGGCCTCTGAATAAGACATGGGCCCTCGCTGGGCCCTCCTATAAAGCGCCGTGGGCACAAAGGAGTTGACGAAGGAGTTGCGAGGCACAAAGGATTTGACGAAGGTAAAAGCGCTCGGATATTCGGAGCCCCATGCTAACGGAAGGGGTTCTACGGGAGCCCCCTACAGCCACGCGCGGACTCGGGAGCCTGGGGCCCCACCACGTGCAGCAGGCCTCTATCACTGCACACCTCAAGCCTCGCAGCGGCACGGGTGAGGTCTCGGCCGCACAGGTGCACCCTCCCACCCACTCTGCTCAGGACGTACCAAGAATAGAGGAAAAAGACGAGGAAAGGAACAGAGACAGCAAACTGTAGCCACCGCCAGGGGCGGATCAGGTAGGCCACTCCGGCCAGGATGAGCTGGCCCAGGGTGAAGGAGAACCCCAGCAGGACCCCCGCCACGGTCCGGCTCTGGGTGGGCATCCACTCCACAACTGTAGAGAAAGCACAAGAGGTTCGGCGGACGCATCGCTCAGGCAGTTAATTCCCCCGCGGCCTCGATCAGAACGGCGGCCATTTGAAATGATCTCAGGGACCCACGGAGACACAGGTAAAGCTCACCCAGGTAAATTTCAGGTGGATCTAAGATCCACATGTAAATAAGAAGCCACCAAAATATTAGAAGAAATCATGGTATATATATTTTTTCAATCTTCGGCGTCAGGAAAGGCTTTTCTAAGAATGTCACAAAACCCAGAAGCAATAATAGGAAAGATCAATAAACTTGACTTCGTAAAAATAAGAAGTGTCTGCATTAAAAAAAAAAAAAAAAAAGAAAAACACCACCATAAGCAAAGTCATAATGTCAGTTAAAAAAAAAAGACAAAAAAAAATCGTAACTCAAATAACAGATAAAGGGGAATTTTCCTAATATTGGATGAGTTCTTACAAATCAATAGAAAAACAATGAACAAGCCCCAAAAAGGAGGGGAGGTGCAAATAATATGAACAGTTGGTAGAAAATATAATAAATTTAATGCCTCTTAGTTACATAATTTCTTCCTAAATAGCAAAACTTAGAAACAACCTAAGTGTCCATCCACGGGGGATGAATCATGGCACACTCTCACAAGGCAACCAGAATAAGTTGATGGGGATGCTGTTTTCTCATGAGCAGTCAGCTCCTGTGCCCCGTCTACCTGCAAATCCTACTGCTTCTACCTGGAGAGTCGAGCCAGAACCTGAGCCCTTCCTGTCTCCTCTGTTGCTTTGCCCTGGCCCGAGCTGGCCTCGTCTCTGGCTAGGTGACTGCGGGAGCCTTGGAACTGGCCAACCCACTTCTGTCCTTTGGCCGCTTGGCAGCCGGAGGGATCCTGACAAATGCTCAACCGGATTAGGTCAGGCCTCTTCTCGGCTCAGGACCCTCCAGAGGCTCCCAACTCACTCAGAGGCAAAACCGAACACCTTAGATGGCAACAAGCCTTGAGGATCTACCCCCAACCCCCACTTCCCTGACTCTGCCTGTCACCCACCCCTCAGCTCTGCTCCAGCCACAAGGCTCTCCTTGCTCTTGAGCTGACTGGGCCGGCTCCGCTCTCAGGACCTTTGCCGGGAATGTTCCTTCCCCAGAGCCGCCCACCCCATCACCTCCTTCAGGCTTTGTTCGAAGGGACCCCCTCTCAGCGTGGCCTTTCCCTGACCGCTTCAACGAAACTGCAGACTCTCCGCTCCACCCCAGCCGCTCTTACTCCCTTTCCGGGTTTAGATTCCTCGGTAGCACTCGTCACTGTCTAACATACTCTGGAACTCGCGTTTTGATGCTGTTTATTATCTGCCTTTCTGCACGAGAACGCGGACTCCACGGAAGCGAAGATCTGCTCTGTTCACTGCTGCAGCTCAGCGCTTAGAACTGAGCCTGGCACATCGTAGTAGTGTGTGCGTGTGCGTCTATGCGTGCATGTATGTAGGGGTGTGTGTGTGTGTGTGTGTGTGTGTGTGTGTTATACAGGCAATTCTAGCATGAGATGGACCCTGGATGTCTGTCCCTGCCTTCAGATTCCACCAGCTGTGACTGCACACTCGCCCCAGAGAACGAGGCAGGAGGGCTGGGATTTGCTGAGATCCTGTGATCTCCTGATGCGGGGGGCGGTGGGGAGGAGGCTGCCAGCCTGGTGCATCTGCTTCTCTGGCCCCAGGATTTCTCCCCCACTCCTGAAATGAAAGGCTCATTCCATCTTTGGCAGCAGTTTCTGAATCCCTCAGATACTCCCCGAGGTCTGGTGATGTCCCCAGGAGCAAATGAAGTAATTAGAGGGCAGTGCAGGCAGGTGGCAGACTCTCAGAGCCCCCCAGGAGCTATCTGGAACCAGCCTGGATTGAGGGCTGACCCTGTCGCTTTGGGACATGGGCACATTCCCACCTTGCATCCAGGAGGCCAGGTCTCCACCTTGATGCTAAGGAGTCACCACCTTTGTAGCTTGGGTGAATTCTGCTCTTTTTGCAGCCACATACCTCAGAGCTGCTGCCTGCAGCCCTAAGAACCACTGTGTCTCATTTTACTCTGTGTTGCCATACTAAGTCTGGCACACAGTAGGTGCTTAATAACCGGTTATTGTTGACTAACCCACACGGGAAATAAACCCAACCCTCTCAGCTTACGAACAGCAAAATGAAACCCAGGGTCCATGGCTCCCTGCTGGCAGCGCCCCCGCAGAGAGCCCCGGGCTCCCAGGATCCTGGTGGGAGGGTCTGAGCTGAGGTCACTGGATGAGAACCCCACACGATGAAACAGATGTGTGACAATGGGGCTGCCACACCCCCTTCCATGAACTCCCCTCCCCTCCGGCCCCTCCTTGGCCGGACTCACCCAGAGAGAGGGAGTTGAGGATGATGCCGGAGAAGGTCATTCCCATCAGGAACCGCAAGGCACAGTAGGCCCCAAAGGAGCTGAAGTATGCCGCAGCAGCCCCGGACACCGCCAGCTGCAAGTATGACCAGACCAGGGGCGCCTTGCGGCCCAGCCTGAGCCGGGCCATGGGCACAGGGTCAGAGGCCCTCTCAGGAGGTGGCTGAGGGAGGGTGAGAGGAAGCTCTCCCTGCCATTGCCGCCCGAAAGCCACCCCTCCGTAACTGAAATGCTCATCCGCTGGGACCCAGGCACTGGCGGCGGAGGCTGGTGGGAGAGGGAGAAGCGTGGTTGTGGAGGAAAATTAATGATAAAGATGTGTGTTTATTTCCTCCTTCGGTCCTTCCCTCAAGGAGCATTTCAATGGTTCCCCTCCTCAGCCCCCCATCTTCCGGGGTAAGGGAAGGGCAGGGATTCTGCAAAGACCCAGAGGCAGGTCCAGTGAGTGGTGAGAGGGTCCCCTGAGTGACTTTCTGGAGGGAGGGAGGGAGGCCTCAAACCAGAACTCACAGGTGGCGAGCTCGCGGCAGGGCCGAGGCTGGAAGGAGTGGGACCCCAGGATCAAGCCTTCATTTGAACTGGTCATGTTGGGGAGGCTGGGTTGGGGCGGAGGCTCGTCACACCACAGGAGGTTCCAAGGCCAGGATAGCAGGTGTATTACACTCTGGCCTTGGCACTGCACCATTTGCGAGTGAGGGTCCAGGAGCGCAGCAGGCCAGGCAAGGGGTGGGCAGCATTTCTTCTTCACACACCCCATGACACACGCATTCATTTATTCATTCATTCATTTCAGTTACATAAAAGTTCATGGATCGCCTCTAAGAGACATGCCTGAACTGGGGGCTGGTGACATACAAGACACAATAGATGAGATACCAGTTCGTACCCCAAAATCTGAACTGGCAACAGGGAGAGGAGGGGGTAGGCGAGGAGAGGGAGGGAGAGAAGGGGAGGAAGAGGCAGGAGGGAAGGAGAACGAGAAGGCGGAGAAGGCGAGGGAGCTGACTCCGGCTGAGCCCACCCCGTCGCGTTTCCTGAAGGGGCTGCGGTCTATCGTCTATCGTTAGGGGCCCTTAAGCTTGGCTCTGGTTCACCCCCGAGGTGGGCTGCAGCACCGACAGTAGGGAGGATGAGAAAACACCTTCTGAAGGAAGATGCAGAGGCCTCCAGGTGAGAAAAAAGCCAAGTACAGAACCTCACATGGGCTGTGCTAGCGTTTGTCAGGAAAAGGGGGATGGAGCATACATCATGTTTGCTTGGGTGGCGTAAGATCATGAAATATCTCCGGTCAGGTACGCAGAGACCAGGCCGCCCTCTGGAAGTTACAGGCGGGCGGGGTAGGAGAGGGAGAGAGACACCTCCCTGTGTACTCTCTTACACCTTCCGGAATTTTAAACCATGTGACTGTATTATGTATTATCTATTTAAAAATATATGAATGAACATTAACAAAGAAAAATGAATAAAGATGCAGAGGGTGCCTGGCTGGGTGGCTGGGACCCTCATCCCCAACGGCTTACCTGTCAGCAAGGCTGCCAAATACGAAGGCGCCCAGCAGCACCCCGGCCATGTAGATGGACTGAGCCAGGTCGCGGAGGGTGCGGGCCTCACACACCAGGTCCCACTGTGGGGGAGAGAGAGATGGTTCAGCCGCCGCCTCAGGCAGTAGCACCCCCACGCTGCCCTGGCCCCCTCAGACCTCCATCACGATGGTGGACGGGAAAATGCTGCGGTCATAGACCCAGCCGTCTTTGCAGGCCTCTGTGGCCGCCCCATGGACGGAGGTGTTGGGGCTCAGGAGGGCCCACTGAGGCTCCGTGAAGCGTCGGCACGGCTCGGGGGCCCCAAACTGGTCCAGGGGTATGGTGGCTCTCAGCCAGGCCCCTGAGTCGTTGGTGGTGGCCGCAGTGTGGTTGGCAGGGCCTTGGCAGTGGTGGGGGGGCACGGCGGCCGTGAAGTTCTGCAGGAAGTTGTGGCAGGCCAGCAGGCTGCAGGGCAGCAGCAGCAGGGCCGTGTAGATGAGCTGGAAGCGGCCCACGCCACCCAGCGTGTCCAGCAGGTCCGTGAAGGCCATGGCCTCAGGTCTGACCCAAGGCCCAGCCTGCCAGGCCTTATGTAAAGGGGCTAGTTTGGGGCTCTGGGAAGGGGAGGAGCCAACCAAGGGTTAACCACAGATGCCCTTTGTCCAGCAGCTCAGAGAGGTCTGGTTTCACTTCACAAGAGGCCTCAGATGTCCCCATGTCTGCCAGATATCCTCACCAGCACCTTCTCCTTGTGCCTCTCACCTCACCCCACAGCCCACTACCCAGCTCTGCGGGCCCAGCCACCCTGCCCTCACTGGAGGACCCCGCCAGTAAATGCTTCCACTTCCCTTAGAATGAGGGTTTGTGAGGCCCCCAGACCATCCAGACCCCTGGTGTTCCAACCCCCTCATCAACAAAACCTACTACAGAGAACTGAGGGGGCGGGGCTGATGCACCTGTCCCCACTCCTCCACCTGGCTCTCCCACAACCAGCCCAGGTGCCCAGGAAGTGATGGCCGCTCCTCTTACTGATGAGGACTCTGAGGTCCCATAGGACCTGGCCCAGGGACTCCCAAAGGCAAAATGCAGGCTTAGGACGCCTGCTCCAGGCACTGTGCCAGCCTGTGGCGGGCAGAGTCCAGGTATTCTGCCATTCGGGGCTCCCTTGGGGGCTTCCAGCAGCCAAGGGCAGCCCCTAACCCCCATTACTGGGCTCCATTAGCCTTTGCCCTGCAGATGCTGTCCTAGTTTGTGGCTCCCCCTTCACCCCACCATCCCATCTCCTCATCTACCCCCCACCTCAACTCACTCTTATCTCTTGTAAGAAAATCCAGGATCCCAGAGGGGGCTGGAGCAGCTTACATAAGCCGCAGGTGTCTGGGCCACAAGGGCAACCTTGCCCCGACTCCACCAGGAGGACCTGAAGGCAGCTCTGTGCTCTGGGGAGCTTCCTGGGGGGTCGGGATTGTGCTAAGGAAGGGTTTGGGTCTCAGCCAGAGCCTCATGGGCGGGAGCATGCCAGGAAGGCAGGAGCCAGGCCTCCAGGCGAGCAGAAGGGCCTGCCAGACCAGCGGGTCCACCTGGGACCTCAGCAGCATGGCCCGGCCAGGGGCCCATCCTCCCCAACTCCCAGATGCCCAGTACTCCTGCAAGCTCTAGGACAGCGGAGAAGGCGGTGGAGGGGGCCAGGTGGGCTGGGTGTGAGGCCCCAAGCTGTCACTGCAGGCCAAGGATGTTGTTGTCCCCTGGGTAGTAAGTTTGGGCAGAAACACACACCGGAGACAGATGTGGGGCCGTTTCCTTTATTATTTGGGGTTCCTCTGCATGAAAACATGAGACTACCCACCAAAGACCCAGGTGCACCCCCATAACTGGTACCCCAGTCTCTGAAGAGTCCCCTTTAAAATCACCAATATAAAAAAGGAGGGAGGGAGTGGGGAGGAAAGGCCTGACCATCCCCCAGGCCGGGCAGCTCCTGGTCGGCAGGCAGGGCGGGGCCAGGGGCCAGGTCACAGGGCAGAGAAGGGCATTGGCTTCTGCACAGGAAGGGACAGGCGTTCCCAGCAGGGGAGGGGGCCCCAGCTGGGAGGGGGCTCTGCATGTTACAATACAGACTGCAGAGCTTAGTGGTTATGGTTTGAAGTCCGCAGGCGAGGCCAGGTGGGCAGCCTCTGGAGTGAGGGGAGAAGACACATCGGGATGCTGGGAGCCCGGGGCTGGCAGCTCCCGCTGAAGCCCCATCCTGAGGCAGGAACGAGCGAAAGCTGCCTTCCTGGCTTGGCGGTGGGAGAGGCCGGGGGAGGTCATCTGAGCCCATGGGTGGCAGAGCAGCGAGGGCCACACAGCTCTGCCCGAGGCAGATGAACTGTAGCGGCTGGGAGGTGAGGGGACGGGAGGACGGGGCCACCTCCCGCTCCGAGGAAGGCACTTGCAGCTGGTGTGGCCTGGCATGGTTTGGCGGATGAGGAAGGAAAAGGGACACAGCAGGGGGCCTGAGCCCCGCCTCATGCAAACATGGTCAGCTGCAACCACTGCCGGGTGGAGAGGAGAGGGGAGAGGGGGTCAGCCAGGGGCAGCGCAAACCCCAAGTCCAGCCTCCCACCCCTTGGCTCAGTAGCCACCATCTCTTAGTCCCTCTGAGGGCAGGTGGGAGAGGGACCCTCTTGGAGGGGACACTGTCTTCCCTTGTCTACCCCTGGGAGACCAGGCTGCTGGCTCCTGCAGAGGCCTCCAAGGGCCTGGCCCTCCCTTCCTCTTCCCTTCTCAGAACTCAGGCACCCCACCCCATCCTCCCAGGACTCAGGGCCCAGCCTTTAGGACTGGCTCTGAGGCCACAGGCTCTAGTCCCAGCAAGCGAGGAACTCTCCACTGCCCCTGAGTGCCTGCCCCCACCCCAAGGGAGGTTCCCACCTTAAACAGGTCAAAGGTCACAACTCCATCCAGATCTGTGTCCAGAGTTTTGAAGAACCCTGTGTGTTCAAGAAATGACGACATGGGGCTGAGAATTCCATGGGACGTGCACACAGGTCCCCTCCTGCTTCATCCCCGCTACCTCCCCACAGCACCCTAAGCTCTGTCACCTGTCACGGCTGGAAGCAGCTCTTCCTGCTGCCTGGGAGGCCCCCGCCCCTGAGTTTCTTCTTTTCCTCCCGTTTTTTTTAACACTCAGCCCGTCTGGGCCCTAACTCCCAAGACCTCCCTGGCACGCACCATGGCGGGCATAGCACCTCGTTCCCACTGCTCATGGGGGACGAGTCTGGGACAGATCTGGAGGTGGAAGCTGAATGGGGACACTCACGGAACATGGTCTCCAGCCGCACTAGGCAGCATACAAAGTTGTCAAAGTCCACAGCCAGGTCGGGCTCCGAGTACCGCGTGATAATGAGCTCATACAGCTTCTTGTTGAGCTTGAAGCCTGGCCCAGAGGAGTGGACGAAGGTCAGGGAGGTGCAGCCCAGCCCGAGGGGACGGGGAGAGGGACTGGGGCTGGGAGAGTGAGCCCTGCACTTCACTCCTGGGAGGCTGTGGAGTGCTCTATCCCTCCCCCGCTGTGTGGTCTCGGGCCAGTCACTTTCCCTGAGTCAAACTTTTCTCTGTGTATCATGGGAACAATAAACACCCCTGTCCTTCTTTGGCAGGAGGACACTTAGCCAGTAACCACAGAGAAAAAGCAGAAGATGGCTGTTTCCACACCACCACTGCCATCATCACCCCAGGGACAAGGGCCAGTTGTCAGGGAATCTGCGTGGGGCCTTCCGCCTGAGGCTCCACCCACAGGTGCCACCAGCCCTCAAGCCTCACCTGCAGACTCAATGGCCATCCGCATCTCGTAGGCACTCATGCTGCCTGACTTGTCCAAGTCGAACTTCCGGAAGATGGACTGGGACGGGGAACAGAAGGTGAGGGCCAGACCCGGACACCCTGCCCTTCCAGTCCGCCCCAGGGTGGAGGGTTGTTGAGGGTGCAGAGAACAGGCCCAAAAGGTGGGTCAGTTGCTGGGGTACGTGGGCTCCGAGAGGCAGACTCGGGGTGGAGGGCCGAATCCATGCAGCTTGCAGCCCAGCCTGGCCCTGCTGTCACTGAGGCTTCTGAGGAGGGGGCAGGGCACTGCCAGCAGGGGCCACCTACCAGATAATTCCTGATACGGTTCCACAGGATGTTGAACTCCACCAGGCCCAGCTTCCCATTGCCGTCCCGCTAAGCAGCCGTTAAGAAAAAAAGCTCCACGGCTTAAACCGGGCATGGGGCAAGAGTGAGCAAGTGAGGAGAAGGGGCGATCGGCCATAAAGAGAGCGAGGCTGGGGGAGAAGGGCCAAGACCCCGCACAGAGCCAGCCCGTGGCCAGGCCGCCGTTTTCTGAATCGGGGTGGACTGGGAGGGGTGTGGAAAGAGCAGCAGCCTTATGGTTACTGCTGGGGCGGCGGTGAGGAGTGTGAACTGCGTTATAGGACCCAGGCCCTGCTCCACCTCTCGCCACCCCCTGCTTCAGATCTCCCCTCCCAATCAATGCGACAATGGTCTGTCCACACTCCACGGAACTTTGTCCCTTTTTCTGAGCTGTTCCTGGGACCAATCACGGCAGGATACATCCATGAGGTTCACCATGCTGCGGCAGGACTCCAGGCTGAAGCCCTTGGTGCGCAGGTCTTTGTCTGCAAGAGAAACCGGTTCCAGCACCTCGGCCCAGTGGGCTTCCCGGGCCTGCCCCAGCAGTGGGAGCAGAGAGGCATGATTCCTGTCCCCTGGCGTGTACAACCTAGTAGCGTTAAGTGCGTAGTAGGGTCTTTATCAGAAATAACAGTTTAAAGTATTTTAGCAGTCGAGCTGGTGGCCCAACAGCCGCATCGACACCATGACCAGACCAGAGCAAAATGAAACAAGGTTGACATAGAAGTAAAAGAAATCGGAGGAAACACAGCAGGCGTGGGGTCTGCTGCGGGTTACGGGGTAAGAAGAGCAGAGGGGTTCTGGACCGTGGGAACAGTGTGGATGGAGGTCAGAGGTCAGAGGTGGGGGCAAAGGGAAGGTTGGGGGTCGGCCGCCTTCGGCCGTGCACATCGAAGAGTGAAGTTAGCTCTGCACGCGAGCCCCAGTGCGTCTCCTGGGAGGAAGGGGTCCTGGACGTTGGCATAAAGGTGCTGTCAGCAACGGGGCACGGGGAATGGGGTGTGAGGAGTATGGGAGGAAAATGGGGTGAGCAGGGCTCGGGAAGGCAGTGCGAGGTTTCCCCATCCACGAAGAGCAAAGGGTTGGATTCGGCTCAATGTAGGAGCAGAAGCCCAGATTCCGGAGTCCGGAGGAAGCGGGGGCAGGGCGCGGGGCAGAGAGCAGCCGCCAGGGATGCTCACGTTTGCTGATGATCCTGTTGAGGATGGTCTGCAGCTCCTTGACGCTGATCTCCAGGTCCTGGGGAAGAAGGGAGGATGGCACCCGCCCTCGGGAAAGGCCGCCCCTCGGTGCCTCAGAGGCCCCCTCTGCCACACCCCGACCTACCTCCCCTGCCAGTTGTCTGAAGAGGGCCTTGAAGTTCTCATCAATCTCCTCTTCCGAG